CCCAACAAAACAGTGTATTATCATAACATCGGCCTAAAAATATAATTTTAACATATTGCAAGGAAATAAATTTTAATTTTTGAGACAGCAAAAAAACCAATAGCTAACCAGGGTTTTTTTTTTATCAACCAAATCTCAACACCCTGCCTAAAACAGAGAATACACCCTGTATAACTCACTAGCAATTTATCATCAAAGACTTTATCATTAGCAAGTTCCGTGCATTTTATAAAAGGGAGACTGCCCTTATACAAAGAGGGTGGAAAGATTTTAATTTAGGGGTTGATATAATGCTGCCAATGTACTTCATACTTTTGAAAAACAATGCCTAACTGGATTATATAATATAGTGTGTTATATACCGAATAAAATTAAAAACTGCTCAAATGGCAAGAAAAGCACTTTCCTTCATTTATTGTAAAGAACTGTATTGGCCTTCTCATAAAACTATTGTCTTGAAAAGGTACTAAGTGTACATATAGGTGACGATTTTTTTAGTACCTACTTATAGTATGGTTGTTAATTTAATTCGCATTTTCCTGAAATATTGCATGTCTTTTTTTATATCTTCTACCTTTAATGAATGAAAAGAACAACTAAATCGATACTAAATAACTTTTATGTAAATGTATTATTATCTGATTCGAAATAATATTTAAATTTTATGTCAGATACTGTGACGGTCTGGCACGTAATACAATAGAATGCAGATTTTAATTTCAAGGGGTAGCAAGCAGTAGCGTGTGCCATATACAGGGGGTGCGCACTGAAATGACCATATGCTACACGTGCGCGGGTACAATGCATTGTATGTTTTGTACTTATATATTGATAATGGTGAAAAAACTAGTTTTCGTTGTCACATTCTAATCGGCATTTTGAACTCATTTTGGAGATTATGTACAATGGATTTATCATTATATAGCATTGCTGGTCAAAGGTAAAAGTAAAAGCAACATTCTGAAACTTTGTTCTAACAGTTTTTTACCAGCTCTTGTTTCTGCTGGTTTAATGAGCAACTACTAAACCCTAAACCCCCTTTTCTTTTAGGGTGAGTCAGTCCTAAAAATCGCAATATTTTTGTGGCGGGAAATAAGAAGGGAAGCGGCTTCTTTGGCATCGGGATTGCTGTATTTTTGTGAAGGAAAGCTGGATACTTCTTAGTTAAACTCAAGTTATAATAGGGATGGTTGGTTTTTGAAGTTCTGCAAGTGGACAAACTATTGCGCGTAGGTAGATTGTAAAATGTATACATATTTCCATTTAACTTAAACAAGAAATAAGCAATTCCATAAGAAATCTTTAAATTACTACTTGCAAAAAAATAGTGCGTGTCATAAATCAGATTCTTGGAAGAAATTCGCACAGGAATTGAATTCTTACACAGTGCCGTTTTATCCATTTCCAAAAATGTTCTTAATCATATCAATAAATACCAATTACAAGCCTTTGTCGTTGTAGAAACACAATATTATGGTTCTTGTTTCAAACCTACACGCCATACACACATCAACGACTTCGTAATACCGAATACCGTGTCTCGACGAATAAAACGAAGCAAACCTATATCCTGGTCTCTCTTTCCTATAGGGGGATAAAATCGTTTTGGATTCAGCAGATTGACTGTACAAAAGAAAGCTTTAGGGGTGGCTCTCCCCCTATATCATAGTTTTTGCCTAGTCTGTCTAGAGTTAAGCCATAGGACATTCACCCCGCAACGTCACGCTAGATATTACCAAGGACTAAAACACCTTTTTCGATTAAAATCAACCACAGGGAATACGTATGTGGAGCTAAAAATTGTCCTAGCTGATTTGCTATGCTATAAATTTTATTCACATTTCTTGCACATGGCCTTTTCGTGTAAAACTTCACAGCAGATTGTTTAAAAAAGGGGTCTATAAAAAAAACTTTATACTTTCTTAGCGGAATGGCTCAAATTGAAACCAGGTTTCTCTATTTTTGATAAATAGCTGCTGCTTAAAGTCAGTGATAAGTTTTACTAATAAACAATGCAGTGTTTTTTTTTTGGGGGATTTTGATCATTTTTCTATAAAAAGTTTAAATTATTTTTTTTAATGAAGAGCACTTAGAACGTACCGTACTTTAGAGTAAATTTTGAAGGTTTTTTTCACTTTTGTATAGTGACTTTGATCGAAGCTTAAATCCCAAGGAATGTGGCGATCATTCGTGAATTAGCAAGTACCATGCGACTAACACTGCAATCATAAAATTAAAATGAAGTAGGTAGGTACCTACCGCCATTTTAATAAAGGTTTAAGTTGAAACATTTAAGAGAGGCAAATCTTTTATATGGAAACATGAGATGAAACAGTACGCCAAATTTTCAATGTATGGTAAACTACTACTACGCATAGGTACTTTATTTTATTTTATCAACCATTTTAGCGAAAGAACAATCGACTTTTATAGTGTAGCACGCATACAAAAATTTGAGAGCATGTTTATCCACTTGTAGTTTGTGATTTAATGCTAAATGCGATCCTTTTGGAAAAGCACATTTTTTTTTTCGGTTTTATACTACTTTTTGGTAATTGTCTTTTTTTTTTTAAATTGGCATTGTATTTATATTCTGTCCGCTTAATTTATTAGATCTTTATTTTCCTAATAAAATAAGCCGCGCATTGCTGTGATTTCTTCTGATCCTATGTTCAGCTTTGTTGTTTAGTATTAATTCTAAGCTGCACTTTTGCCAATTTTTTTGACATGTTCTGTCTATTTCTTCCTTTCATGTTTTATTTTTAGCTATTGCACTATTATTATTAGCCAGATGGTATTAATATTTTTACAATTTTTTTTCCGCACAAAAAAAAAACAAAACCTAACCAATAGGTTCAAGATATAAAAATTTAATTTCAAGGTGACCACAAAAAAAGTTAATAGAGCTGGCTTATCCTGTATCCAGGCGTGATATAGGTACCTACATATGAGTGTTTTACTTTTCCCGTTTTCTTTTACCTACAAATGCACAAGAACAATTTCAAATATGTCACTGGATAATTGGAAGAACTAATAATGAAAGGAAAAAGAGAAGTAGCAAGAAAAAGTTTACGTATTTTAGAAACATGAGATACTTCCAGATTGTATGAGGAATTACCTTTTTTTATTTGCTAGACATTTTTCCATTATTTTTCAAATGAAAAAAAAAATCGATTCTCTGTCGGGCCAGGGAAAGCAACATTGAAATGTGGCGTGCATTTTCCTATCAGTTCCTATTTTACTTGCAAACAAATGGGGCATTTCAATTATTGTATTTTCAATAAGATATTCCATCACGAAACTGCATTGTGGACCAAATTGAAGCTCCACACTTTTCCATTGCTGATGATAACTTTGTATGCATCGCACCGATTCGATTTATTTTCGGAGGGTTAGTAGGCTGCTATTCTGGTGACTAGTGAGGCTGTCCAGTTTTGATTAAAAAGGTTTAGACCGGATCTACGCGACATTTTCTAAAATGCTGCATTTAACTTCGTTTCACTCAAACTTGAGCTTATATATTTTTCCGGTAGCTAATTTACCAGAGATACACACAAATGCTTAAGCGAAAATTAAGCAAATGCAAACAACGTCTGAAAATTCTTTCAAACATTAATCAGAAAGAAAAATTAGGTACCTACTACTGTGGAAATGTCTGCTGAGTTTATCAGTTCAAATTTGAGTGAGTTATACGTATCTTTTGCAATGACGTTAAATGCTGCTTTTTAGGAAAATTAACGTAGGTACCTACTTAACCCCGGTCCTTTAATTTAATTAATTATTAGAATAGAATAAAATAAATTGGTTTCGGATCCATTCTGGACTAGTTCTATCGGTTCTAGTTATTTAACAAGAACTGAACTAATACTTCGCGACATGCGCAGTTTAAGCTTCATTCTCAGTTGCGCTGTTTTTTGACATTACTTTGACAATTTGACGTTTGATACACGCATAAAACGTCATATTGTCGAAGCAATGTCAAAAAAAGAGCGAATTTCGCGCAAAAAGAGCAAATTCCGCGAAAATGAAGCTTTATGCGACTAAGTATTATAAAACTACCTACTTTGGGAGTTAACTTAAAGTTAACTTCTGGAATTACATGTAAATCAAAAAGTTAACTTCAAGTTAACTGTCAAAGCAGTTTTATAATACCCGCCCTAAGGGTGGGTATTATAAAACTACTTTAAGAGATAAAAGTTAACTTCTGGAATTACATAAGAAGTAATGTCATTCCAGAAGTTAACTTTTAGTTATTCTGTCAAAATAGTTTTATAATACCCGCCGTAAAGGCGGGTATTATAAAACTACTTTGGCAGTTAACTAAAAGTTAACTTCTGGAATTACATGAGAAGTAACGTCATTCCAGAAGTTAACTTTTAGCTATTCTGTCAAAATAGTTTTATAATACCCGCCATAAATTCACAATAATATTGATAGGTGGTAGAGTTGGGAGTTTCCGTTTTTTGTTGCGAAATCATTCGCGGTGAAATAAAATTCTTATCTGATTCATAATAATAATTAGGCATTTACTAATTGGAAGATTCGAACTGTTTCGGATGGTGATTCGCTAACAAAGTGTCTTTTAAAAATAATTATTAGGGTCAACTACTACAGTAACAAGGGCCTAGAGTATTAAGTATTTGATTTATGAATTTTAGAGGCCGCTGGCCAACCTTTGAAACACCCTGTAAAATATTTTATTAGACTTTGCATCTTATACTACGCTGGCCCCCGGACTATCGAATACGTACGTACAAAAGAACACAAAGCAGTAGAGCAACAATGGGGCGCATGCCCCATGCCCCATATGGGTAGATTGGTAGTAGCGTAGTAGATTGAAATGGGAGCCGAAGCCCCTGTTTTTGAACTACGGTTGGTCGCATTCAGGTTCACGATTAATCACGATGATGCGTCCTATGAGTCGAAGTAATCGTTGATGTTGATAGTAGGGCACGAGTGGCACGACGGACGACGGCTGAGGCGATCGCGACGCCACCAGACGCCAGACGCTAGTCCAGTGCGAACCCGACCGACGACGGAGCGACTAGCGCCAACGCCAAGGGCGATTGTCATTTTTAGTTAATTTTTTTTTTCGTTTCTTTCTTTAGTTTTGCTTTTTGTGCACACACTTCATTCAGTCCCAGACTCCGGCTCCATCATAAGAAATATTTTACGCGCGAATACAGTGTATAGTTTTTTTCCCCCAATTTTTACCCTATTTTTGTGTTTTCATAGGTAAGTGAACTTGAGCAATAATCAATAAAACCGACATTTGTGTTTAAAAAAAGAGCTTTCCATCATAGCCCTAACTAGCTCCGCTCCCATGTTTTTGATTCTCTATTTTTGGTGATGCTTAATAACATCGGTCATGAATTTTCTTTAGCTAAACTTTTGTAATCCAAATCACATTCAAATTCTAAATCCATCTTGTTCCCCAAATACCTAATTTTATTTTTTAAACATAAAACTGACTATTTTCACCAGTCGTCCAGAAGCCATAAACTTATTTACGTTCACGCAAAACTTCATCATTAAGTATTTCGCATTTCCAACGGTTTGAAGGAAATTGAATAAAATTTTGCAGAGATTTGTGGAGCTTATTCCAACTAAAATAGATTCCTTCTAAAAATAAATGGATTTCCATAATAAATTCATGTGGATCGGTGACTGTGCGCGTACCAGGAAGTTTTCAATATTTTCATACCAATGCCGCAATAATTTTCGAACAAAATTAGTGCCCAATTAAATACTGGAATGAATGAACTTAATTTTGTGCATATTTGGTCCCATCCAATATTACCTATAATTAAGTAATTATTATCGTACCTACATATAAAACAATTATTTTTTCTAGGTAGCTAGGTCCGTAGAACTATTTTAAGATCAGGTTAGTTATTAAATTTTTCCTCGATTCATACCTATACCATAAAGTTCAATCACACTGCAACTGCATCTAAAAATAGAACGCAAAAAAACTTTGGTTTTTATAAAAAGTGGCTTATCTTCAGACAAATACCTAGGTAAATAATAATGGTAGGAATCTTTGGACAGCAAATAATTTATTAGCAATGAATTCTTTTATGCCTGCAAAGAATAGGTTTACCTACCTAATAAATACAGTAATGAAATAGATAACCAATAAGTTTTATCTCCAGATTTAATTTAATTCGAAAGCTGGGCTTTCTTTTACCTTTGAGGCAAAATTAAATTGAATGTCCAGTCAACTCGCAAACTAGCCAATTTTGATTCGTTTTGTTTTATTTGAAGTTGACTCCTCCTTACCAAAAATTATGAATAAAATGCCTTTTATATATTTCATAAGTAGAAGTAGATGTAGGAGGTACACACAAAAAAACGAACTGAAGATCATTTTATTTGACAGCATTGTCAATTTCTCTCATAATAATCAAAAAGTACCATACTTGGTTTTAGTTACTCCTAGCCTAGTCCAGACCTACATTGTTCGCATAGTTATGCATTTCTAAAAACTGTTTCAAAAGTGTCTAAAAAGTGTTTGCAAACATTTGTTTAAAAATATCTGCACAAATATTCATAATTATGTTTTTGGTTTTCCGTCCAGGATGGAAAACATAGGAAAATGTTTTCAAACATTTGCTTGTGAGCAAATGATAGGTCTGGACTAACCTTTAGGAAAAATTGAATAAACACATACTCGAGTCTGTCTGTATTAGATAATAGGTACATAACCGGGCTTCCAAATAAGTGCGACTACTTTTCCAAGGGCCGGTTTATTCACCTTCTGAAAGATATGCAATCTGACGGATAAAAACGCAATCTGTAATCTCATTGGTCGGCCAGTTATCCGCCAAATTATAGAACAGTCAATTTATCTTGCAGATAGTGCCAGCAAGTTTATGTGAAGATGAATAAACCGGAGCTAAACGTAAATAATGTAGATTGCGAGGTAGATTGCTTTTTTTCAAGATAATCACACCAAAACCACAAACCTAGCCATCTCCAACAAAATTTCGAACAATGAATACGTGGTTCGTTCATCGTATGTCCACTCCCCCCCAAAAAAAGTAAAATTTTGACATTTTTTTTTTTCAGCACCCTCAAAGGATAACGCACACCTAACATGGGATTTTTGGGCTCTATGGATTCTGCCCCTTTTGGTATGTTGTAGAGGATTTAATTCTGCACAACCTTTAAATGGGACGAAATCTTGTAGGTATTACGGTCTTTGAGATATGAGCGTTGAAAGATGAACTTTTTTGCGACTTTTTGTGTGGAGAGTATACAAGATACTGGTGCTACTGGTGTTTATCAGTCAAAATATTGACAGGTTCACATATTTTACGTCACTTAAAAATTAATGTCAACTTAGGTTAAGGCCGGGACCGCACTGGGGTCAATGTTGGCGCCAGTGCGGTCCCGGCCTTAGCCTATGTTGACATCTGATAGTGACGTGAAATATGTAGACCTGTCAAAATTTTGACTGATAGACACCAGTTTTTCGTATACTCTCCACACAAAAAGTTGTAAAAAAGTTTATCTTTCAACGCTCATATCTCAAAAACCGTAATACCTACAAGATTTCGTCCCATTTAAAGGTTGTTCAGAATTAAATTCTCTACCACATATCAAAAAATGGGCAAAATCCATAGAGCCCAAAAATCCCATGTTAGGTGTGCGTTATCCTTTGAAAATTACCAATATAAAATTACATTTCGTTTACCCAAGTTTGCCCAACCATGATTATTGAATGCCCAAATTGAAATAAAAACTAAATAAACAACATAAATTGAAATATCATTGGGACTTTTTAAATTAAAATCAGACTTGATAAGAAGTATATTCGAATAGAATTACAAAGTAGAAAAATGCCAAATGGTAAAAAAAAACAAAATTTAATATCAGTTAAAATCTGCAAAAGTTCTATATGAGAAATTAGCTCTTGGATGTAAATCACAGTTTCAAATGCGCCCACTATCTTCGATTGTCCATGTTTATCCAACTGATTATTGACCTCTGTGACAGGAGCATCAACAAAATTTTGAAAAATCAATACCTTTTGCTCCAAATTTTGCAAACAGCCCTAAAACATACATCTCTTAAGCTAGAAGAGCAAAGTCAGCAGAATCGAAAATTAATACATGCAACATTAAAGGCTCATTAAAGGCTAATTAAATGCCCTAATGAGAAATTTTAGGCTCCTTAATTTTTCGCGAAAATGACTGTTCTGCTAGCTTTAACTTAAGCTAGCAGAACATGAGCGAAAAAGTGGCTAAAACAACGAAAATTGCAATTCCACTTGCACAGACAATAAAGGCTCTCGAAATACACCAATCTCAAATTTCAGGCTCAATTACTTTTTTTTGTCAAAATGCAAAAAGCGCGATGCGTGAGTGATGTCGGCCAAGCATGGCAGAAAAACCTCTCAGACAGTGAAAATCAGTGTTCCGATAGTGCAGTTGTAGTGAATACATTAAAGGCTAATTAAATGCTGTTATGAGAAATTTTAGGCTCCACCAATTTTCGCGAAAATGGCTATTCTGCTAGCTTTAATCTAAGCCAGCAGAACATGGGTGAAAAAGTGGCGAAAACAAAGAAAATTTAAATTCCACATGCACCGACATTAAAGGCTCATTAAAGGCTCTGGAAATACACCAATCGCGAATTTCAGGCTTAATTATTTTTTTTTGGGAAAATGCGAGAAGTGGCGATATGTGAGTAATGTCGGCAGAGCATGGCGGAAAAACCTGTCAGACAGTGAAAATCAGTGTTCCGATAGGGATAGTGCAGTCGTGAATACATCAAAGGCTAATTAAATGCTAAAATGAGAAATTTTAGGCTCTGCTAATTTCCGCGAAAATGGCTTTTTTGCTAACTTTAACCTAAGCCAGCAGAACCTGAGCAAAACCGTGGCTAAAACGACAGAAATTGCAATTCCACTTGCACAGACATTCAAGGCTCATTAAAGGCTCCGGAAATACACTAATCGCGAATTTCAGACATTCCTAAAATTACCAATAATAACCTGGTTAGTTTGGGTACTTTGCAATTTTAATCAGACCTTCCCAAACTCACTAAATCAAAAAAGTAATTGAGCCTGAAATTTGCAACTGGTGCATTTCCGGAGCCTTTAATGAGCCTTCAATGTCTGTGCAAGAGGAATTGCGATTTTCGTTGTTTTGACCACTTTTTCGCTCATGTTCTGCTGGCTTAGGTTAAAGCCAGCAGAATAGCCATGAAATTGGCGGAGCCTAAAATTTCTCATAACAGCATTTAATTAGCCTTTAATGTATTCACTACGACTGCACTATCGGAACACTGATTTTCACCGTCTGAGATGTTTTTCTGCCATGCTTAGCCGACATCACTCACGCATCGCGCTTTTTGCATTTTGACAAAAAAAAGTAAATGAGCCTGAAATTTGAGATTGGTGTATTTCGAGAGCCTTTGATGAGCCTTTATTGTCTGTGCAAGTGGAATTGCAATTTTCGTTGTTTTAGCCACTTTTTCGCTCATGTTCTGCTAGCTTAAGTTAAAGCTAGCAGAACAGTCATTTACGCGAAAAATTAAGGAGCCTCAAATTTCTCATTGGGGCATTTAATTAGCCTTTAATGAGCCCTTAATGTTCCATGTATTGATTTTCGAATCTGCTGACTTTGCTCTTCCAGCTTAAGAGACGGCTAAAACATCGTTTTAATCACTTTTTTCAAATAGCTTTTTCCGAAATTTTGCCATCTAACCTCACTTTTCGCGTTTCCATATCTAAATTTTCCCATATGTAGCGAACATTATGGGGGACACTGGACACTGTATATAACATGAAACATAACAATAACACTCACATTTGTGATAAAATACGACGAAGCTTGCCTAACAAAAAAAAAAAACATGCAGAAACTTACCTATTCTCTAAACGGATTCACCAACAAAAGTGATGATCCTTTTTTTTCGAAATTATGGACGCTGTATAGAGCCCTTCTTGAAATATCACATAATATAGCAGTCAGCTGCCACCACCCTTTTCTTTTTCTGCAGTTAAATATTTTTCCACATAGGTATAGTTTTTTTCTTCTGGTCCTAATAAATAAAATGTTTTGGTTTCCATTTTCAATCACACTGATATTCAATTACAACTTTTCTTTAAACTAGCTAAACAATTTTTACCAAAGTAGTTACCGTCCTTCTCGTCCTTAAGTATGCATCACTTTGTAATATCTGTGTAATCGTTAAAAAGGGTACTTCCTTATTTTTCATTTCGT